ACCCCCCCCCCCTCCCCAAACACACCCAATTTTTTTTTAAAAAAATAATTTTTTAATATTACTTTATAATAATTTTTTTGAAAAAATACTTACTTCATTCCTCCCTCATCCAAAAAAATAAATAAGATATTATTTTTTAAAAGAAATTCCTACCTCACTCTACCTAACCTTTTGCTTCTAGTCTTGTTTTCTCATTTTGTGTCAGATATATAAATATATTATTAAGAAAGAATTTTGTACTTGCCGTGAGAATTTTTTTAAAATAAAATTTTATTTATGTTATATATGGTATGCAAATAGAAAAAGAATTCTAAAAATATATGTATAACAAACGGGAAAATATTATTTTTTTTTAAATTAGGGAGTGAAAAGTTAAATGGTATGAGGTAAAATTATTTTTTATAACTTCACTAACTTTAAAAATCGAACTCAGCTGACAACTCTATAATCTAGCGACTAACTCAAGTACTCAACTAACAGAGTACTCAAACGGTAATCCTTTCAAAGACTATACAATCTACTATCTGAAATTTACAGGTTTTACACACTAGTGCTTAAACACAAATAAGAAAAATAAAGTGTACCAACATGAGTTGTGGTGCATTGGCGGGAGTGTCTCACCTTTAACTAGAGATCTCGTGTTCAAGCTTTGGATATGGAGAAAATCTTGTTGAGAGCGCCACCTCCGAATGAATCCTGCACTGCGCAATTCGAATATAGTCGAGACTTCAATATGAGCTCTTCAAACACCGGATAGGAAAAAAAAAAAAAAAGAGAAATAAAGTGTAACAACTTAGCACATCAACTTACTATTGTGGTCCATTTATATCTGCTTTGTAGTGAACCTCGATCAGACTGTAGCTACAGTTTAAGGTGTCTCGTTTGTATAATTTGCGGGTATGTTTGTATAATTGAACTATTTTTGTATAAATTCGAAATAACGAATTTATACAAACATAAACATCTGAACTTCATACAAATTATATTATACAAAATTACATTATACAAACGTTATACAAATTATATTATATAAATTTTGAATTATACAAACGTGCAAATTATACAAACTTGAAACCTCAGCCCATGTAATTATCACTAAATATTGTCGCGAGTGGTAATTAACTAAATCTATATACTTATGATGACTAATTAACTAATATATATTTGCTTAACCACGTAATTTTCCTTTTATCATTCATCAAAACATGGACCTTCCATCCAGCACCCTTTAAATTTGTAACAACATGTAATTTAACATCTTTAGCACTAATGAACATGCCAGCCACATGGAAAGTATATCATGATCAACAATTAGAAAACACTACTCAACACATGTTGATTAATTTTTGGAAAATCAATTATTTAATAGTTTGCTATTATTTCCAAAGAAGAATTAGTTATTTACACACACAATTTTCATACCTTTGAACTTCAAAATTAATTTAACAAGTACATTTTATTTATTATCAGAAAAAACCACATTCTCAACACATGTTGATTAACAGAGATACAAAAAGTTCAAGCTCAAACAGGTAAATTACAGCACAATAAAGATAAATTGAACATACTAATGCCATATAAATTATAATTAGAGAACAAGACATGATAGAGCCTATTTTTTGAAGAAAACATTTTTCATCAAAAAATATTTTCCTCCGTACCAAATACACCCTAAATGTTTGTTTCATGGAGGATGTTATTAACTTTTTTTCTGGAGGATGTTATTACTTATTATTATTATGAATATGAACATATGATCAAAATTCTAGCATCATGGTATTGATCTGATATCACAACTATGAGCAGTGGTAGATTCAGAATTTTTCATTAAGAATGTTCGAAAAATAAAAATGTAATGCCTAGGATTAAAACTTGAAACTTCAAGGTGAATTTTCATTTTCTAAACCACTAAGTCAATCTCCAGACTCATATTCAAAGATTCAAAATTTCTCTCAATATATATACACTAAAAAAAAGTACCTAATAAATATAATATATTTTTTTACCTAAGAGTTCGACTCCCTCGCTCTTTCCTAGATCCACCCCCGACTACAAGAAACAGGAAATTCAAAATTTCTCTCAATATATATACCTAAGTACAAACTTCCTGGTAAAACTTCTTGCCCAAATGAGTATCTCAAAGTATGTCAATTAGACATTTGTTGGAATACTCATTTGAGCAAGAGGCTTTCCCAAAGAAGTGAATGCAAATATGAGTCTCCTCCATGAGAAAGTAAAGGAATATGTATAGTCATGTTACCTGCCAAAAACTCAGAGTTGGTTGTACCAGCCTTATGTTTTTGAGTTGTTGGATGTGTGTATATATAAATACTAAACATCGTAACATGTCACAACACTTAGACATGTTATTATATTCAGCATTATTCTTATACACGTAACTATACAACATTATTCACATTCCATTTAGGTGCATTGTAACAGCTCATTTGTTGGTCCTTGGTACTAGCTCTTTCCCCAAGAATAATGTCAATTAAATTACTACAAGCCACCCACCATTCAAAACATTTTATTTTGTTGAATTTCTTCTAGTCTATTATTTCCTTCATTCCTAACTCAAAGTTTATAATTTTGAATTGTTGGTGACTGTTTCTAATGAGTCAGGTATACTCGTGATAAGCACTAGTCAGTCAGGAGGAAAATGTAATTATATGCAGTAACAAGAAACTTTTGGGATCGTTTAGTTCACAGATAAAGTTATTTTGGGATTATAATTTTTAAATTACTTTGTAATATTATTTATGAAATGGATAAAATAATATTAAGTTTGATGAGATTGGGTGAGATATGCAAAAATAAGTTAAAGTTAAATTTATACATTTTTTTGAGTTGAAGGTATTTCCAATCAAATAAAATATAAATTTAATCTCATACTTAATCTTGAAAAACTTGTGTATTCTTGATATTTATACCAAGCTACGTTATTTTAATTTTTTATTATTGGGGCGATATGCTCATAGGACTGAGTGGTGTCTCGGGGTAGGTAGAGAATCTTGATATATTTTAGGTTTAAATTTTAATGGACATAAAAAATATTAAGTAATTTCTTCTCATATGTCATAATCTTGATAAACAGAGTTAAAAAGAGATTATTGAGGTGAGAGTGTACATGCTAATTAACCATTGATAGCAATGAGTGAATATCAAAGAGATCATGTAATAGTAAATTGATTTGGTAGAAACAATGATTATGGATTGTTTTTTTTTAATCCTAGCTGTCATCAACCATGCAAATTTGATTAATTTGTTCTTTTATAGAGCTTACTAGAAGTATAGCTCTAATGGGACCTTCTTTGTTAACTAGCTAATACTCAATGCATCTAAAAACCTTACCTACCTTCTTTTCTTGTCCTTTTTGGTGATTTTAACTCTAAAGAGTCATTTGATGTAATTGATAAGAGAAAATATTTTCCGCTCCATTTTATATGAAGTAGTTTGATCCGATATAAAATTTAGGAAAAAAATAAGACTTTTAAAATTTGAAAAAGGGTCAAATATACCCCCTGTACTATAAGAAATGGTTTATATATACCCTGTTGGGTTTTAGCAAGGTGTGAATAGAAAATAAGAAGAGAAAATGGAAATGTGAGGGAACCAATTTTGGAGGGAAAATGAAAAGTCATTGCAAATTGCAAATGAAAAGTCATTTCTCCCATATTGGTAGAAGAAGGAAAATTGTTGTCCTTATATTAGGAAACATTTCTTTAGTTCTTAAAGGGTTAAGAAGAAGGTATCCCCTCGCGATGTCATCGTCGTCGGTCACTCGGCTTCGGATTTGGCAAGTGATTGATTGATAATATTTTTGGACAAAATTTATTTAATCAATCTCATTAATTGATTTCCTTTCTCTTATAAATTAATTCAGGATGTTAGTTAATTAACAGAATTAATTTCGCGTAACGGGATTTATTTGAAATTCACGTGTAACGATAACATCGTTCTGAAGGGACTTGTTCCTTCCGAAAAGATGTTATTTTTCCCAAAAGACACAACATTCTGGAACGACATGTCTGAACAGAGGCGTTCACACCATTGTCGAACAGACGCGTTCCTTGATGCAAGTGGCTATAAATAAAGACTTTTTTTTCGGTTTTCAACACTGAAAATTTTTCCTCTCTGCATACATTTTCTTACATAAACAAATTGTCGATCGATTGAGTCTGTGTGTGCTCTCGTTACTGTTCTTGCGTTCGCTGAAATTATTAAAGTTTGAGATATCGCTACTTCTCTAATAGGTTAATCCGTTTTATCTTGGGAGGAATTAATCTACAACCTCGGATACTTGAGGGGATTAAATTTCTTAAGGAAACACAGTGGGTTCTGTGGACTCGGATTATTATTTCTGTCTGTTTCATCTATTTTTATGTCTCTGTTTTGCTAACCTTAATACAAGAGATAATAAGCTTAAGAAATTTAGTAGTTTTTGTATTTGAGGTTTCTGGAGATTAAAACATTTATGATTTTCTACTCTGTTTGAATTTTTAAAATTCATTCGATTAACGATTAAAAGAATATAAAAACTTTATCGTTAAATCAAAAAAACAGGCTGTGTAAGGATTTATTCTTTACTGTTAGTATTTCACATACTAAAATTGTCTGCCATTTGTGACAGAAAAAATGACAAATTCAAGTCAAGTAAATGTTGGAACAGTGAGTGCTGCAACAACATCAGTGAGTGTTGCAACAACATCGGTTGCACACAATCGTTCAACTGCTGCCCTTGCACCGGCTGAGAAACCTGCAAAGTTTTCTGGAGTCGACTTCAAAAGATGGCAGCAGAAGATGTTCTTCTATTTGACTACGTTGAGTCTGCAGAGGTTCATTAATGAGAATGTTCCTGTTATGTTGGATGAAACTCTGGCCAAAGAACGATTCTTAGTGACAGAAGCATGGACACATTCAAATTTTTTGTGTAAAAATTATATTCTGAGTGGCCTGCAAGATGATCTGTACAATGTGTATAGTAGTGTCAAGACCTCAAAAGAACTCTGAGATGCTTTAGAAAGAAGTACAAAACAAAGGATGTCGAAATGAAGAAGTTCATTGTGGCAAAGTTTTTGGACTATAAGATAATAGACAGTAAGACCGTCGTCACCCAAGTTCAAGAATTGCAGGTCATAAACCATGATCTCATTGCTGAAGGAATAAATTTATTTAATGCCTATGTTAAATATGTTAAGTCTATTCTTAATACTCACATAATCTTTAATGTAGGATTGATTGTGAATGATGTTTTTCAAGTGGCGGCCATTATTGAGAAGTTACCTCAATTGTGGAAGGACTTCAAAAACTACTTGAAACATAAACGCAATGGGATGAATGTTGAAGATCTCATGGTAAGGCTGAGAATCGAAGAGGATAACAACTGCCGCCGAAAAGTGGTCGCGTGGTAATTCAGCAATATCTGGAGTTAATATTGTTGAAGAAAATCCCACAAAATCAAAGAAAAGAAGGAAAACATCTGGTCCAAAGAGCAATCCTCCTAAGAAGTAATTCAATGGAAACTGCTTCAATTGTGGCAAACGGGGTCATAGGGCTACTGAATGTCGGGTTCCCAAGAAGGATAAGAAAAAGGATCAAGTAAATTTGACTGAATCCAAAGAAGGGATGGACGATCTATGTGCAATGCTTTCAGAATGTAACTTGGTTGGAAATCCAAGAGAATGGTGGATAGATTCTGGTGCCTCATGCCATGTTTGTGCCAACAAAGAATTATTTGCATCATATACTCCAGCACCAGCAGACGAGAAGTTATTTATGGCGAACTCTACTGTTGCAAAGGTTGAAGGAATTGGCAAGGTCCATTTGAAGATGACATCGGGCAAGGTGGTGACTTTGAACAGGGTCTTGTATGTTCCAGAATTGCGAAAGAACTTAGTTTCTATACCAGTTCTTACCAAGAATGGATTCAAATGTGTATTTGTTTCTAATAAAATTGTAGTAAATAAGAATGGGATATATGTAAGAAAAGGTTACCTCACTGAGGGCCTCTTCAAACTCAATGTAATTGCAGTTCATATGAATAAAGATTTTGTTTCTTCTTACTTGCTTGATTCTAAATATTTATGGCATGAACGTTTGGGACACATTAATAACAAAACCATGCGAAAACTGATTAACTTAAATGTTTTGCCTAAATTTGAGTGCAATAAATCAAAATGTCAAGTTTGCGTTGAATCTAAGTATGCTAAGCATCCTTATAAATCTGTTGCAAGGAATTCATATCCCTTAGAACTGATTCACACTGACATTTGTGACATGAAGTCAACACCAACACGTGGTGGAAAAAAGTATTTCATAACTTTTATT